GTGTTCGCTAATAATACAGTCTGCTGACGATATGACATATCAAGATTCATGAACAGTTAGATTCGCTGTCCTGAAATACGTTCAAATCCAAGATGAAAAGTCAAATGGCTACTGCCCTGAAGACAACGACCCCTTGAGTAATTGAAAGACTACGTTACGACGTATGAATTGAAACAAACTGCAATTGTGCTTATCAAAGACCATTCAAGAGTATTGAAGAAATTTTCAATCGATTCTGTTAACCAAGGACGTACAGATAAGACTCGTAACTGAACGAAGTTATGTATGTCAAGTATGCAATACTACACACTATGAAGGAACTTTTGTCATCAAAGGATCAGTGAAGACCTTACTTAATCGAAAATTGCTAATCTCTCGAAGATTGAACGAGTTTGGTGAAATCAATGACTTGAGAATACGTATTCGAAAGATGGCGACATAACCATATGAATATGAAACGGTCATGATCAGTGAGATCATTACAAAACGTTGAACGTTGAACCTAAGAAGAATTTCGAGGACGAAATTCCTTTTAAGGGGGGGAGAAATGTAACGCCCCAAAACATACCCTAGAATTATTAATGAATAAATAATCAATTAATCACAATTGTTTTGATTAAAATAAATTATTGTTGGGCTTTGGGCCGATATGAAATTTGTTTTGACATCTAATATCAAAATCTGGATAAGTCTCATAGAGATAAATCCAATATGTGGACTATTTGTGTGGTCTTGATTGTGAACCTGAGTACAGACCCAAATCAAGAGTAAATAAAGAATTTGTTTAGAATGTAAATATTGAAATGATTTGTTGAAATAAATCATGAGAATAATTGATGTGAAATAAATGAGTGAACCTTTTATGAGGAAGGTCAATTAAACCAATTTTGACTCTGTTAAAGTCAAACACCCAAAAATGTGGTGTCAGAAAAAGTATAATGAATGAATATAAAAATTATATCGTTGGATAGAGTTCGACTGTCTGATCGCAACGGTGCAAACGGATTTTAATTTGGAGAAAGTTGGACCAAAAAGTGTAACCCAACTGGAACCAAAATTGGTCCCAATCAGGGACACTGTGGAGACGGCGCCTCCCAGCGCACTAGAAAGTTTCCTACGCAGCATCTACTTGGAGAAGTGTCCTCTTCTTCTTTACCATTCTATATAATAAGAACCTAACCCAATCAATTCTTCACCATTCTTCTTCATTTTTCCTTCTAATTATTCCTGAGAGTGTGAGGGGTATTGTGGTGCTGCCATTTTAGTGAGAGGTCGCCGGAGTTAGGAGCTTTTGTCGCCGGAAGTTTCGCCGTTCTTTCGCCGGAATCTTCGTTAAGCTTCGAGGTAAGCCCGTAGATATATCTAATGACTAGAATGTTCATATAGGTCGTTTCTACGTTTATAAATTGTCATTTGGTTGAGTTTTGTGTTTGACATGCTTGAAGAACTAAGAATCACAAACCATGATTTTGATGTTAAAACTATGAATTAATGATGCCAAAATGATCTATGAACCTTGGAGAACATTTTTATATACTTTAATTGAAGTTTGGTAAGTAAAAGTGACATTTCCGCAAGTTGGCTCGAGGTAGAAGACGATGGATAATCGATCATCAACTTGAAATTCGATTATTCATCGTTCTGCAGATTTTTTGAACAAAGTTGAGCAACAGTCGATTATCAGAATGTGATAATCGACTGTCAGCCCTCTCTGAAGTTTGATAATCGATTATCAGAGTGTGATAATCGATTATCAGCCCATTCAGAACATCAGACAGTAGATTATCAGAAGTGACAGTAGACTGTCACCCTACACTATTGAAGAAAATGAAGTTAATAGCTAATAATTGAAATTCCTATCATATATTAATCAATTGTTATTTAGAAAATATGATTTTTGAGTTATGAAATCCTATATTTTGATACCAAACCATTATGATTAATAATATGATGATTTCTTGGAATAAAGATGGTATTTTAACAACTAAAAGGGATCTTATGTGATGCATGATGGTAAGCTAGGGTGTTAACACTCGATGCTAGGCCGCTGATTGTTATTAGTTATTATGATGATTGATTGATTGTTCATTTTTATGAATATTATGGATTAATGATGATGAATATTCTGGATGAAATGTTTGTTGAACTAAGAGTATGAATTGATAAATAATGTTGTTAAGGATATCTAGAAGAACTTTAAGATATACCTATTAGCTAATTAATGTTAAGACTATCTAGAAGACTTCTAGAATAGATCTTAGAATGAACTTATGAAAACATGAATAGTTGATGAATTAGATATAAATTCATAAACGGGATTCGTAGACCAAACTAGAGGATTACTCGTTGGGAATGCCCGATCCATTGTTGAC